TTTTCGTTATAACTCCTCCATTTATATAGCTAGGAACATGAAATTCCACACTGTTTTCAATAATTATTAACAGAAAACTTACGGTGAAAATTAAAAAGATCGGGTAACTATAACCTATAGCTCCCATACAACTGATTGTTCAGATATGAGATTTTTCGTTATAATTCATCCATTTATGTAGCTAGGACCATGAAATTTCGCGCTGTTTTCACTCATTATCAACAGAAGATTTACAGTGAAAATAACAAAGATCGGGTCACTATAACCTGTAGCCCCCATACAACTGATTGTTCAGATATGAGGTCTTTTATCATAACTCCTCCATTTATGCAGCTAGGAACATGAAATTTCGCACCACTTTCACTCATTATTTACAGAATACTTACAGTGAATATAACAAGGATCGGATGACTACAACATATATCTTCCATACATCTGATTGTTCAGATATGGGATTGTACGGTAAAACTCCTTTATTTGAACAGCTAAAACCGATAAATTTCGTAAGATATTTTATAAATAAAAAATACAAGGTCTACTGAGAAAATCGTCAAAATCTTTGCTGTATAAGCTTTATCTCCTATACCACTGATAGTTCAGATACCAGTTTTTGCGATATATCTTCTTTATGTAGGAAACTAAACCCAATAAATTGTGTTACCGGTTTACATACCGATCACGTAGCAGTGAAAATCACTTAGATTGGTGCTAATATAAGGTATATCTTCCATACCTCTGATTGTCCAGATGCGATTTTTTATATAGGTATGTAACTTCTCTATCGATGTATGCAGATGTATTCAAAATCAGTAATCTGTCAAACTAAAATTTGCAGATGTTCATGAAAGGTATGAAGCCTTCGGCATAGCCGAAGACAGCGCTGCTCTTACTTGTTACTTTTTAATTTTCTGCAATTTTTTTCACTCATTTATACTCAGTTAACACGCAATTTTTTTCGTCAAAAATATTTTTCTTTTAAGTTTTGAAAATTACCGTATTTTAACAATATTTTTCTCCTAGAAAAATTTTTATAACGTATTTAAAATTAGCAAACTCGTCTAGATTTTGTTAAACTTTGCTATTTAACCCAGCTGAGATAACGTTATTTTTTGGACTGAAAAGATAACGTACATCTGAGAGGCGTGTACAAGTTTACGGCCTTTAAGGATGTCAATGAAAACACTTTATTAAAGAAAATTATGCTTATTTAGTTTAGTTTTGTGATTTTTAGAGAGGGAGGAAAAAATTCAAAAAGCGTCTCGCCAGCGTAAGTTATCTCAGCAGGGTTAAGACGTTTGAAAATTTACCTTGGTGCAAATTAAAGAAGGCGCCAAGTACGTAATACTTTCTTTTTAGTTTTTCAAAATTATTTTTGCTTTTGTTTTGTTATTTGGCAAACCAAAGGCTTACGCGTATGTATGATTGATAGAAAGTTTCATCTTTTTTCTCTCATTTCGCACAAAAAAGTGAGCAGAACATATCGAAAATAGATTTTTGGCATGGCCATTACACTTAAGACGACTGTCTTGCTTTCCTCGTTGCAAACATTTCCGCACCGTTTTAATTTTCTGTGCCGTCTCTTATTCTTTTATAGTATCAATAGTTTTAATTCGAACAAATTTACTATCGATTCGAAGTACAGAGCCACTGGTGTGAGAGCCATTAGGCAGATTTTGCGTGCCACTACTCGCGCCAAGACTGACATCATCTGATTAATTCAACCTTTCAGGAATTTGAAAATAGAGGACCAAAATGCGGGAACAGTGTTGTACATGTGGCGTCCATTTTCTGTAAACGATTCAATACTTCGCCAGATGCTTTGAGAGAAAATAAAGAAATGTCTTCGTTTACAGTGGCTTTTATAGTTCGAAGTTAATACTATTTATGTTGACTGCTCCATATGCATTTAATTGAGGAATATGGATTTTATTAGGGAAAATGATTTGTCTTCCTATTACAAAAGCACCAGCTTCACCATTTTGGCCACTGTTTCCACTCTGCCATTTGTTTAATTTTAATACGAACTTATTTCAATTCTTTCTATTGGAATCATCATCCAGCGATTAACGCATTGGGCTCTGCGTAATTGCGACCTCATTTGGCTAATCGGTTAATAAAGCACAAAAATGCATTGCTGCCTACCAAGCCTTAACGAGTAATTGTAATCCCTAATCCGTGAAATGGCAGGATAGTTATATTTTCATCAGATCAATTGCGACAGAAGTCATTGGCCGGCAGGCCCATTCTTTTGGCATTCCATCTCAGTAGCCAGTGGCCGGTTATGGTTTCAGAGGGTGAGCTAGATTTTTCGTGTCGCCCTAATAGTGAGTTTTGTCAACCATCTTCTATTTGCCTATTGAATAACTCTTAAGCTGCTTAAACTAAGGGTTAAAAAAAACTGCGGAAAACGTATGATTTAATCTTACAATTATCTTTCAAATAAAACAAACACTTTCTTTGCAAATTTGAATAAATCATATGGATTAGTGGACTCGCATATAAAAGACCAGCCATCATCTTGATATAAGATCAAATATCTTCATCTTAACGCTTAGAAACGAAAAATTCAACGAACATGAAAGTAGTATTAACATTGTTAGCAGCATGCTTAGCGCTGCTCACTGTGAGTGTTACACGAAAAACCTGTTTAATTTAATAAAAACCAATTGGCCACAGTGTTTAAAAAACAAAAACTTTTATATTCACGTACATAGGTATCAGCACGTCCATCTAATGAAGGGCTTGGTTTCCTAAACGACGAAGCAGATCGTGCGCTTATTTCTGCGGCAGCGGACTTATTCACCGCCATCTTCAATCCAAAAGGAGTTGTGGATATTAATGAAAACAGTCATCACGCCTTTGGCGCTCAACAGTGCGTAAATGGGCATAATTTACGTTATAAGAAGTCAGTATCCAATGCTGGAAGCAAAATCCGCGATGCAGCCAGACTAAAAGACTCGACTATAGAACGTTATTTGCGCAAAAACGATGCCGCACAATTGCAGCTGCAATTCGTGGAGATTATCGAAGAGTGCGGTAGACTTCAGCAGTCGGATGAACGACTTGATTGCCAAGTCGATGTGGTATGTTGCAAGATAAACTTTGTCTTTAAAAGTATGAAGGAAGTTAATAATTTTTGCTCTCAAATTTTAGATTTCTAATGTATTCAGTGATATTGCCGCTTCATCTACGGAATATACATGGATTAACAAAATACTTATACGCTACCGCTTACATGGACTTAGCTGGAATTTGTTTGCTGGATCAATTGAATTGGAAAAATGTTTGTCCGTTTTTCCGGGCCAAGCTACTGATGTACCACCGAAAGGTATTCGCCCTACACCTACTACCGAGGGCCCAACAAGAGCTCCACAAACCACCGCAGTTCCTCCTGAAACAACTACACTAGAGACGACCATTGTTGAAACCACAAATGCGGCGGAAACGACCACAAATGCGGGGGAAACGACCACAAATGCGGTGGAAACGAGCACAAATGCGGTGGAAACGACCACAAATTCGGTGGAAACGACCACA